TCCCCAACTCCCCTTTATTTTATGTTTTCTGTTCCAACAAATCTCTCTCTCTCTCTCTCTCTCCTGTCCCAAGTGAAGATTCACATTGCATTATGTATTTTATGGCCGAAGCTCCATCCCATTCCATTTTTCTCACCTTCCTCCTTTCCCTCCCCAGCCTGAGCCCCACCAAGTTGCAAGTTCATAAAACTTGCAAGTTAAATTTTTCAAAGACGGTTTCTGACAAAGCAGCGGGGATTCGGCTTGGTGAAGCCCTCCATAAAAAATTGAAGACACGCTATATTAACATACATTGATTTATTCATAGTGTTTCATTACAAGTAAGTGAGGATCCTGTAATACCAGGAAAGGTTAGGAGAGCAGGGGAACACGGTAGATTATATTGACAGCTCGGTGGAAATTGAGTTGCTTCTGGATTGAATTTGGAGGGCAGGAAAGGAATTGGCTAGTAAATAAGGCATGAGTTTTACCTCCCAGTGCCTGTATATCAATGCAGTTGCCGCCAGCCCAGCCAGGGGGACTAGGGGCAGATTTCAAAAGGATGCATATGTATGCCTTCCCCCCCTGTGGGCTGGGGTTCCCAGCCACAGGCAGAGTTCTCTGAACCTGCTCCTCCTTCTGCCACTGGGGACACCTGGAGTCCAGCTGCACACTGAACCCTCACCTCCCCCAGTTGCTCACCACTCTGCAGTCACACTGGGCTTTCCTCCATTTTCACGAGCCTTTTCCCACCCAGGCCTCTGCTCAGGCAGCTCCCTCAACCCAGAACCTAGAACACTCTGTCCCCTGCTCCGAATCCCTGTTATCCTCGGGCATTAGTTCAATTCTGCCCTGCGATACCTCCTGTGTTGTCTTAGTTCGGTGTTTCTCAGATGCAGACCCCTGAGACTAAGGTTTGAATACCAGCAATTATTGAGAAGTTTGGGAGACACTAGGGGGTGGGGAAGAGAAAGGAAGGTAGCCAGTGGTGGGTATGCTTCCCAGCCAGCTCCCTGTGGAGGCAGAGGAGCAACTCCCGTGGGGAAGTCCCCTAGGGGGCTGCAGAGGCAAGAGGGGCCTGGGGAAGGCGTGACCCACCTCCCATCCTTCCAGTGGCTGTTCACTGCCAGGCACTTCCTGCCAGCGCCTAAGCACAAAGCCCTCAAGCAAAGAGGCAGACATGTGTCGCCTGACAAGGGCTGGGCCTGCCCAGGCTCTGCTTGCAAAATGCCCAAATCTTTCAACTCTGGGCATTTCTCCTTCTGGGCTCACTCTGCTCCAGGCAGAATCTGGTCTCTCTCCTAGACATGTAGTCTCCATTGCTACAGCGCTTCATACAAGAGAGAAAAGTTACCTCTTTCTCCAAAAACATTTGATACCCTTGCCAGAAAGAGAGAACTGCTTAGTTTTGAAGTGAAGTGGGTGTGTTCCCTTTTCTGGCTGGGTGTGGCCTTCCTGTCAAGCATAGGACATTCATGGTGGAGGACAGAACAATGTAGGTGACTTACTTCGCTCTAGAAGAGAGGACCCTGAGGACAGGGTCTAACTTGCATTCACCCGATGCAGGTCCTAGAATCCAGGGGTGTATGGGAAACATTAGTGAAGGAGCACTAAGTGAATGAATGAAGGTGCCCTTCCATTGATGCAGTGTGTCTCCCTGTGGGGCAGGGGGATATAGAATAAAGAGCACAGGTTTTCGAGCCTAAGAGGCCTGGGTGTGATCCTGGGCCCGTGACTGAATATTGAACCATGAGAGCGCACAGTCTGTAGCTGCACGTGCATTTCATGTAGCTGCATGAAAGAGGCCAGACACCGAAGAGCACCCTGTGTGACTCCATTTATATAAAGTTCAACAGCAGGCAAAACAACTGTATGCTGTTAGAGGCAAGGATAGAAGGTACCTTGCCACAGGTGGTGGGTAAGGATTGAAGTGGTGCGAGGGGGAAATTTGGGGTCTGGTAATGTCCTCTCTCTTAATTGGCTGCTGATTATACAACTGTGCCCGGTTAGTAAAAATTCATTGAGCTGTAGAGTTTTCTGTGTGTTTTATTATACTCTAATAATATATTTTAATAGAACAAACTAGAAAAAATAAATAGACAAGCCCTGGCTGGTTTCCTCAGTGGATAGAGCGTTGGCCTCGGACTGAAGGGTCCCAGGTTCGATTCCAGTCAAGGGCATGTACCTTGGTTGCGGGCACATCCCTAGTAGGGAGTGTCCAGGACAGCTGATCGATGTTTCTCTCTCATCGATGTTTCTGACTCTCTATCCCTCTCCCTTCCTCTCTGTAAAAAAATCAATAACATGTATTTTTAAAAAATAGAGCCAAACCGGTTTGGCTCAGTGGATAGAGCATCGGCCTGCGGACTGAAAGGTCCCAGGTTCGATTCTGGTCAAGGGCATGTACATTGGTTGCAGGCACATCCTCAGTGGAGGGTGTGCAGGAGGCAGCTGATCAATGTATCTCTCTCATCGATGTTTCTGACTATCCCTCTCCCTTCCTCTCTGTAAAAAAACAATAAAATATATATTAAAAAAATAGACAAAAAAGCCTGTATTTGCCACGTTCAGAAATGTTTAATTTAGAAACATGGGTACTCAAAGTGTGATCCATGGGGCCAGTGCCAGGACGCCAACCGTTTTGTTACTTTCACAGCAGATAAGTGCAGAACTTGAGCGTGAGCACCTAGAAACTTCTATAGTGCCTTGGCATTGCTGTGACACCCAAGTGCACGGTCAAGGGACATGTCTTCTTGCACAGAGTGTAGACCAGTCTGGCTATCGCCAGACTCACATGACATGTCACATGTGATGTGGTCTTTGGATTATTATGAGTGTGCAATGGATTAGGAAACCCAGAACTGGGCCTTCCCCAAAGATATGTTGAGACATGCTGATTTAATGCAAGTTGTTTCAAACCGAGCCTCAGTTTCTGCATCGCTAAAATGAGAATTAAGTATCCTGATGCCCCCAAGGTTGGGGGAAGACAAGCAGTGTAATGCATGAGAAAATGCAGATGACGCCACCTGCAGTAGGGGCCGAGGACTGCATTTTTCACTATCTTTCCAAATAATTCTTCTTGCGATGGCTTTCTCTAGCACTGCTCTACAGATGCGCTGTCTAGTGTGGTGGCCGCTAGCACGCGGGACTACTACGCTTCTGAAATGTGTCAGTACAAATGGAGAGGTGCCATAGGCAAACGACATATGAGATGTCGAGGACTTCATGTGAATACATATAGACCAGGGGTGGGCAAACTTTTTGACTCGAGGGCCACAATGGGTTCTTAAACTGGACCGGAGGGCCGGAACAAAAGCATGGATGGAGTGTTTGTGTGAACTAATATAAATTCAAAGTAAACATCATTACATAAAAGGTTACGGTCTTTTTTTTTTTTAGTTTTATTCATTTCAAACAGGCTGGATCCGGCCCGCGAGCCGTAGTTTGCCCACGGCTGATAATAGACTGTATTCACATTATAAAATATGAGTATAAAATATCGCAGTAACTTTCTGTAAATTGCAGGTTGAAATATTTTGCATATATTAGGTTTGACAAAATATAATATTTAATTTTTTTACTTTATTTCTATTTCAGTGTGACCACTAGGGATCTAAACTGCATGTCTATGGCGTGGGTTGTGTTTCCGTTGGGCAGCGGTGGTGCAGAGCGCCCGCGGTGGCTTGTTTCGAGGCTGGGTGACCTGTAAGGTGGACAGCAGCATCGGAACTCACTGACCAAGCCCGCGTGCCTTCTCCTTTCCTCCCCTGAGGTCCCTCCACGTGAGCGCCGTCCAGCTTCCCGAGCCAGGTGTTAATCGGTTTGCTTGCTCGCTTGTTGTGCAGATCAACTACAAGGCTGTTGGCTCCCTGGACCCGAGTGCCGACCTCTCCAGCCAGAGGGGGAAGGTGTTCAAGCTCCGGAACGAAACCCACCACCTCTTTGTGGGTCTGTACCCAGGGACCACCTACTCCTTCACCATCAAGGCCAGCACAGCCAAGGGCTTCGGGCCCCCCGTCACCACGAGGATCGCCACCAAAATCTCAGGTATCTCTCCCAGAAAGTGGTTGCTGCTTTGCTTTTCCCCATGCCTCATTTTCCTGGGAGTGAAGAAAGGCCAGGGCCAGCTGTCGCCGTGTAGTACTGGAGATCAAGGCGATGCTGCCCCTCCTATGTTACCTCTGTAGTCTCACAAAGAAAACCCAATCCACACACTTCCTAACGTGTAAAAGTTACACTCATTAGACCAGAGGGCGTACTGAGCGATTCACCAAAAATTAGACTACACAGTTGCATTAAGTAGTCCTTTACTTTTTTCATACACATTGGCTTGTAAAAAATGTGATTTATTTTCAGGAATATTTCTGTTAGCACGCACGGCAGGGCACAGCAGAGGTCTTCATGAAATGTCTGATGAATGAATGAATGTTCAAAGCCACAATGGTCCATGATTTCACCTGCTGTCTGCAGTAGGGGCCCCCTCCATCATCAGTCAGCATCAGGCGGAATTACCTGGGAGCCTTTTTTACAATTTATATTGTTTCAGAATGTCTATGCAATTCTGGCCGGCATGCATACATATTTTGCATAACAGACCCATGGTGTTTTGGGTAGCTTAATGTTTTCACTCCTGTTTATACCATAAGCATTTTCCATGTTGCTACATTGCTTTCATTATAATGTTCTGTCAAGCGGATGGACGTAATTTAATTAAACATTCCCCTGTGGTTGGATATATTTGGGGCTTCCATGATTTTATAAAATAACGCTTCAATAAACATGCTACAGAATAAAGTTTAATTCATCGGTTTGGATTATAACTTTGGGATTAAATTCCAGAAATTGAAATACTGAATTAAAAGGGATGTGGGTTTTAATAGCTCTTAATGCAAATGGCTAAATTACCTTCCCCAGGGATCAGATTTAGTTTCACTCCTGAGGGGTTGGGGATGAGAGAGGGAGGGTCTCATGAGAAAAAAAAAAAAAGAATCACTCATCACTATTGTAATTTACATTTTTAATGTGCTTAACAAGGTTGACTGCGCTCACATCCTTGTTGAGTGCTTACATTTCCTGCATTTATCTGTTTATTCGTGTGGGACTTGTTGATTCCTGAGGGTTACTGGCCACATCACTGCCACCCTTCCCCAGGCTCTGCAGCACCTTGAAGGAGCCCTCTGCCTGGTTGGAGGTCAGGACCTTCTTTACTGAAATCCTGGGATGCCATGTGCCTCTCTTCTAAGCTTCCCCACACACCCTCCTTCCAGTCATCCTGAGTGTCTTAGAGGTGGTTGCAAGGGGAATGAATGAATGAATGAATGAATGAATGCTACAAAGCCAGGGTGGTCTAGGATTTCACCCCAGTGAGTGGGGCTTGGGACCTGTGCTGAGCTCCACACTCTCTCTGTTCTCTGCCCAGCTCCATCGATGCCCGAGTATGACACAGACACTCCACTCAACGAAACGGACACGACCATCACGGTGATGCTGAAGCCTGCTCAGTCCCGGGGAGCCCCTGTCAGGTAGGAGGTGCCTTCGCCTAGAGTTCACAGCTTTCCTTCTCTGCACCAGGCACACCTCCCACTGAGTTGTATCACCATCAATGCCCGGGCCGGACTGGCCAGGAGCCAGGCTTCCTGGAGGAGGAGGGCCAGCAGCCCATGCCCAGTTCAGGGGGCCCCTGAGCCAGGAGCCTCTCTGTGCACAATGGGTGTTGGAACTGATTCTAAGGGAGCATGCCGAGGCGGACCTGAGGAGGCTGGGAGAGAACCTTCTGGAACACATGGACAGTAAATTTATTTAGTGGGTTGGGAGCCTGGAGACTGAGCCTCCTGTCCAGATTATCTTTCCATGTCTGACTGGCATTAGCAGACAAATGGGCAGACTTGCTGAACTCTGAAACCTGCCTGCTCAGAGACATGAATGGGGCCAGACCTCTGGGCTGGGCCAGCATAGGGCCTTAGCTTGCTAGGGTTCCCCATTGGGGCTTGAAGTCCAAGCCCTATTGCTGATTTTTGCAAGAGGCTGCTGGGGGTCAGGAGCATGCTTATGGCCCAGGCCAGGGGTGGGCAAACTTTTTGACTCGAGGGCCACAATGGGTTCTTAAACTGGACCGGAGGGCCAGAACAAAAGCATGGATGGAGTGTTTGTGTGAACTAATATAAATTCAAAGTAAACATCATTACATAAAAGGGTACGGTCTTTTTTTTTTTTAGTTTTATTCATTTCAAACGGGCCAGATCCGGCCCGCGGGCCGTAGTTTGCCCACGGCTGGCCCAGGCGATGAAAGCCTCTCCATGGCTGAGCTGTCCCAGTGCCAGGTCCTGGCGCGTGGCTACCAGGAAGGTGGGCATCTCTTTTAAACCAGCTACACTTTGCACAGGGGCAGCAGCTCTGAGCTTGACTGCTAGCTTTGCTCAGCGATCAAAGAACGGCAGTCCCTTGAAATCAAGTTGAGTGTTGGGTGAAACAGCTTTCAAATGGGCGCAGTCCAGTTCAACAAGCACGCACTGAATACCTTAGATGCCCGGAATGGGGAGGGCCACAGGGGATAAAAACGATTCATTTACTTAGCCATTCAACAAGTATTTATGGGGCACTCCCTCTGTGCCAGGGGCTGTCTAACTGCTTAGCAGACAGCAGTGAACTAGCCATGGTCGAAAGAAAGCCAGACTCTCGCTGGGGAGACAGACACATGAAAAGATAATTACAACACAGTATGTGCATGCGAATGGAGATGTGCCTGGGTCGTGGAGGGCTCGGAGGAGAGAGTTCCCAGAGGAGGTGACACTGAGCTAGATCTTAAATGTTGTATGAGATTTTGCCAAAGCAGTAAGAGGATCCAGCGTGAGCAAAGGCATGGGGGACAGACGCAGCCTGCTGTCCTGGGAGCAGCCAGGAGTGGTTCCGTCTGCTTTGGCATAAAGATGAAGGCAGCAGTGGTGGGGTGGCGGTGTTTAAGTTGCTCGGGTTTCTCTGAGGAGCCCTGGGGAGCCAGATGCAGTGTGACTTTTATGAAACTGGAGACTAGAAGACCAGCCAGGAAGGAGGCTATTGGGATGGTCTAGTTCAGGGGTGGGCAAACTTTTTGACTCGAGGGCCACAATGGGTTCTTAAACTGGACCGGAGGGCCGGAACAAAAGCATGGATGGAGTGTTTGTGTGAACTAATATAAATTCAAAGTAAACATCATTACATAAAAGGGTACGGTCTTTTTTTTTTTAGTTTTATTCATTTCAAACGGGCCGGATCCGGCCCGCGGGCCGTAGTTTGCCCACAGCTGGTCTAGTTATCTGTTTTCCCACCTGGATCCAACTCTACCCAGAAATTATAGGCAGTGCAGCAGATCCAATCAGTTGCCCGCAATTAGGAAGTTCCCCTCAATTCCATAGGCTTTGAACAATGTTCTGTTCTAAGTCAGGTGAATCTTCAGACCTTGCAACAGGCGGTGTAGTGTTTGTGGGACACCTGAGCTGAGAACTTTTGCCTTGTCTCCTGTACACAGGTCGTTGCAGGACTGTCCTGGCTGTGGTGAGCCCAGGCAGCTGGTGGCTCTTACACCAAATAAATAGTTACTGAGTTACTTGCTTTTATTCCTGTTACTTTTCATACAACATTGTCATTCAGTTCTGTATATACACTGAGATATTATTATCCTCCTTTTCAGATACTATTATTCTCATCCTCAGGCTCAGAAATTCCCACGAGCACACAGACAATAAGTAGGGACGCTGAGACCGAACCCAGGTCCTCCAGGTGCTAAAGCACATGTTGCACTTCGGCCACCTTTGCCGGCTCCCTTTCACAGCTTGTGCCTCTTTCACGAAGCAGCACTGGTCATGTTTCAACATCTTTGAAAGCTTTCCAGGTGGCAAAATAGGCCCAGAAAAGAGAAACAGTGTATCCCATGTTGCACATTCCATGCGCAGCTGACCCCACACCCAGGACTTTTACACAATAGACCCAGGCATCCCCTTTCACGCTGCAAGCCTTCAAAACTACCTACAGAGGGACCTGGCCACCTGGCTTCCGTGGTGGCTTCTTGGGGGTGTGGATTCAGTCCACTCCCCACAGCCTTCTCTATGGGGCAATGGGAAGGATGGGAGCTTAGTGACAGGGAACCTGGGTTCAGAACACGGCCGTGCAACCTTGGACCAGATACTTCATCTCTCTGAGCCTGAGATTTGCTTATCTGGAAAGTATGGAGGGTAATGATTCCATAGAGGCTAAATAAAATATAGAAGCCACAGCAAGGCAGGCTGTCAGAGTTAGTCTCTTCGTTGGCTTTTCTGCTTCTCTTTGGAACTTAGGAAGGTCTGGTCAAAGTGGATTTTGAAAAACCTGTCCTGCCACCAAGTCATAGTGTTGCCTGCTTCTTTCCTATTCAAATTTTCAAAGCTTTTCGAGACCCTGATTCTGTGGTGGGGATGGAAGGCCTTTGCTTTTTTCCTTAAGATCCCCTACCTTCTTTCCAGCACAAAGTTTCCAAAAACCTTTTTTTTTAAAATTGTACTGAGAAATAAGCAATATGGGTCCAGCAGCATAAAGTTAAATTTTGTACAGAGGACTAGAGTCCCATCCTCAGGATAAATCAGATTATATGTCCATGAAACTCTGAAAACTCATCAAAGTCATTAGCACCATGTTTTATTGGGCAACTACTGTGTTCCCAGAATTTAACCTTGACTAACCTAAGAGTAGGATCTTTCTATTAGAAATGAGGAAGCTGAAGTTCAGTCACAGAGCCCGCAAGTGATGAAGCTGGGACTAGGATCCAGGCCTGCCTGCCTCCAGAGACCAGCAAAGGGGACCACTGAGCAGCCCAAACAGGTGTTCCTGGGAAAGCTCTTCCAGTTCCCACAGAGAGAAGCCCCTTGCACTTTCCTCTGAGCCTGCATGCTCTTAGCTTGCTCATCTGTTTGGTAATCTCATGCATCCTAAGACCACAGTAAATTAGGAGGTGGGAATGGAAGTGCCCAGGAGCAGTGAAAAATGACAGTTGGCAGGGAGCAAAAAAAAAACAACAACAGGAGAACTCTATAAAACTGACACAGGGACTCAAGAAATTAGGAGGTCTGCATGCTGCAGCTCCTCACGGCCACGGTTGTTCATCCATTATTCCTGGCTTACCCCCAAAAATGTAGCATGAGGCTCCATGTCTTCAAGTGCAAAGGACCTGCTAGCTTTCATCTAATGAGCAAGGGCTTGCTGCATGCCTGTCACCATAAATAAACTGTATCCTCACAACATGGCAATAGCAGTCTCCCCGTTTTGCAGTCATGGGAACGGAGATAAACAGACCCCAGGGAGTCAATGCAGACCACGAAATAAGCAAGGGGTGTGGGCAGCATTTAAACTGACCCTAAGCCAACCCTCATTCCACTAGAACCTAGCATCTCCCTAGGAGGAAGCTGGGCATGACATATTTTGGTGGCATTGCCATGGGAAAAAATGAAAATAAATGTCACTGCTCAAAGGGGCAATGCTTCACGTGTGGAGAGGTCTGGCTGCGTTTCTTCCTAAGGCTCTGGATCATTGAGGATGGGTACACTCCTTTTCGGAATTATTTTCAGATTGGTGCTTGGGCATTTGACAAAAAGGGCAAGAGACTAACCCGTGCCACCCAGCAAATCTTTCAGGGCAGCTCGCAACGACAGCAGTGGCTCCATCCCAATAGATTTCAGTTACCTTAGCTCTTTTCACCGTGAGGTCAGGGCACTAGGATGCCCAGTTGGGAGGCAATTGACCATTAGGTCATTCAACAAATTGAGCGTTTGCTGTGTCCCAGGAGCGGGAGGTAAGTGGGTTATAGCAGCAAACAGGGCAGGCGCACACCTGTCCTCCTGAGGCTTAGCATCCAGGAAGTGTTCCTGGGAATTGGGCAGGGAGCTGGGGCATTAGCAGGGAAACAAACCAGATAATGAAACTGGACCAGCAAGACAAGGCCAGTAAGGACAGTGACTGTGTTGGCTGAGAGGAGAGGACTAGCTGGCAAGATGAGCTCAGGGGGGGGGGGGGGGGCCCGGGAGAAGAGGGGAAGAAGGAGGGAGGAGAAAAAGGGTAGGGAGGAGGAGGGAGAGCAGTAGGGGGAGTGAAAGGGGAAGGAGAGGAGGAGGGGAGAGAGGGAGGGAGGAGAGGGGGGGGGGGGGGGGGGGGGGGGCGCCCTATGGAGTCCCACAGGTCAAGGAAGAGGAGAATTGAGAAAACAACAAAGGCCATGACTGCAGTATGGGGTCAAGGATGCCCGGAATCCTATTCATAGCTGATAGTTCCTTTAATTTCATTGTATCATCCAATTGCCATTTACCCAGTAGGTCAGCTGGGTGGAAACACCATCTCCATTTCTTAAGATGAAGCTGTAGTCAAGGTGTGAAATGATTGGCCCAAGGTCACCAAGCTTGTTACCGGTACAGCAGGACAGGGACCTCACTTCCTGCCTTTGCGTTCATTGCTCCCCTAGAAGGTTCTGAGTTTCCCATGCCTGGGACGTCAAGTGATGACTGAGTAACCACTGAGTGGGGAT